TCTGCAGTTCCTACTATCTCTGCAACAGTCATTGTTTATTTCAAGGTATGTGACAGAATTACTCAGCTTCCACTGTAAAGATTGAGAGGACAGTTACAGCTGCTGCCCCTACCCCATACACTATACACTATAAATTAGACAGTGCACTGGGTGCTGCTTGTTAGCATATTCCCTCCTCAAATAATATCACAGGATCGCCTACGAGCCTGACTGTTCCAGGTTTCAGTGTTCAGACTGAGAAAAGGACAATTCACTGCAAAATATTTTATTTTGTTCAAACTCCTACCTTCTGATGAAACAGAGAACATTGTCACCAATTTCGATGCGATTCAACCATGAGGAGCACACTCCATGTCGCACTGGACCCTGGTCATCTGAAAAGGTTCCAGCAAAGTATAATAAACACATGGGAAGCTGTAAGCCTGCATCAGTGTCTGTGGGACTGTACCCTGGCCTGAGTCAGTGCCTGCACGACCTGCACCCCAGGGAGAGTCAATGTCTGCATGACTGTACCATGGGAAAAGTCATTGTCTGCATGACCTATAACCCAGAGATAATCAGTATCTGTGGGAAGTGTCCCCCAGGGAGGGTCAGTGTCTGTAAGTCCACTGCCACAGGGAGGGTCAGTGTCTGTGAGTCCCCTGCCCCATCCCCATTGGTTAAGTTCATGAAAATTCCGTACTTCTAGTGCGATACTTGACAACAGCGACAGTGAGATGGATTTGGGATGGATGGGTATCTGGTGATGAGCTGATGGAGTAATACCGAGGTTGCAGCAATGGGAGCTGGGTTAAGAGCAGAGATGCAGGAGCTTGGACAGAGTGGAACTCATCAAGGACATCAGCGATCGTTGGAACATTCTCCCATTTCCACTCTTCATATTTGTGTGTCCCCTGAAAGAGAAGTAGATTAAAGAGGAATAACAAGAAGGAATCTACCATAAAAGTAATTAATCAATGCAATCTGTCCAAACTGGGAGTGACCCCTACACCTTACTCACTCCCTCTAGACTGGGAGGGACTCCTCATTCACTCCTGTTCCTTTTTACCTGGCCCAATTCTTCGAGCTGTTCCTTCTCTTTAGGATCTGTTGCGAGTTCTGCAAGGGACTGTAACAATTCAGGACTGGCTGGGCTAGTGATGTCCAGGAAGTATGTGAGTGCCTGGGCTACTGTGCAGTTTGGGAGACGTGTGTCTGACACCCATTTACGCTGGACTCCTGCATACAAACAGAGCTCTTTAGTGTACAGCACTGTATGATGTGAACAGACCACCAACAACAACAAATTGCTTTTATGTAGCAACAGTTACAAAATGGGTCAGTCCCAAGTGCTTCACTGAAGCAGAGAAACAATATTTGACAGAATCACAGAATTATTCTATTGCAAGAGGCCATCCAGCGCATATTGTCTGCACCGGCTGTCTGAACTTTTGTAACATTGTGCCAACCGCTTACATTTTCCCCATATTCGTATACGTTGTTTCTATTTAAAATACCATTCAACACCACCTTGGATGCCTCAGTTGATCCTGGCTCCACCACAGTCCCACGCACTGTATTCCAGACCCTAAGTACTCACTGTTTGAAAAAGCTTCATCATCCTTGCATTTGCTTCTTTCATGAAACAGTTTATATCTGTGCCCTGTGGTTCAAGTTGTTTATAAGTAGGAACAGTTTCTCCCCATTTTTACTCCAGCCTACGCATGAGTTTGAAAACTCTGATGAGGTACCATCTCAAATTTCTCCTCTCCAAGAAAAACATTCTCAGCTGTTCCAATCCTTCCTCAGAACTGAAGTATTTCATTCCTGGAACCATTCTCTTCAATCTCTTCTGCAGTCTCTCCAATGCATTCACATCCTTCCTGTAATGTTATGCCCACAACTGTACATAATACTTCCGCTGAGGATGATCTGGTTTCCCATATAAGTTTGGCATATCCCCACTGCTCTTGCACTTTATGTTTCTGTTAAAAATGCCTAGAATGCTTTATTAACAGCTCTTTCAAGCTTTCCGGTCACATTTAGTGAGTTATTTACATAATAATCCAAGTTTGTCTGCTCCTGTAAACACTGTAAAATAGTACTCTTTAATTTGTACTGTCTCCCAACATTCTTTATACCAAAGTATGTTTATAAAAAGAATGAATGCATGTTTATGAAAAGAATTCTTTATACCAAAGAATGTTTCTATCACCTTACACTTCACTGCATTGAACTTCATCAGCCACCTATCCACTGTGGTCAGGTAACCAATTGGAGAAATGGCCACAGGCCTGAGCTCCAATTGAGCGTGCTGGGAATTTTGGTCAAACTAGTTTAAATGCTAACCTAGGTTAAAACTGCAGTTGGGACATACTGCCTGTCCTAAAAAGGTGTTATCTGCAGTTTCCTGTGTTGACCAAATAATGGAAGAGTCATTCTGGTCTGCTGGACATACTGGCACCACTATTACTTTATATCGAATATGGTATGTGACTGTTTAAATGGTTGGGAGTTGTTTGCCAGTAAACTCCATTAGCTGGAATCGAACATGGTGATCAGGTTTGGTCAATTCATTGGCTGAGTGCCAGAGAAGTTTCCGAAAAACGAGCTCACTTTTGGATAAAAGTTACCAGCACAAAGGATTTTGAAAGAGTGAGCTTTCGAGTAACACCAATTCAGTGACCAACCGTGGTCGTGCCCATACCCCAGGCCAGGGGGTCTGCAATACAGTCAGGGTGACTGTGAGGAAGGATTGCTGGTCGACCAGACCCTCTGTCAGGAGAGTTGCATAGGACACTTCAGCACAGTACAGGCCCTTTGGCCCACGATGTTGTGCCAACCTATTGTCCTACTCTAAGATCAAACTACCCTGCATACCCTATATTATACTATCATCCAAGAGTCGCTTAAATGTCCCTAATGTACCTGCCTCCACTACCACTGTCGGCAGCGCATTCCACGCACCCACCACTCTCTGTGTAAAGAACCTACCTCTGACATCTCTCCTATAACTTCCTCCAATCACCTTAAAATTATGCCCCCTCATAATAGTCATTTCCACTCTGGGAAAAAGTCTCTGGCTATCCACTCTATCTATGCTTCTCATCATCTTTTACACTTCTATCAATCTCATCCTTCTTCGCTCCAAAGAGAAAGGCCCTAGCTCCCTCAACCTTTCCTCATAAGACCTGCCCTCCAGTCCGGGCAGCATCCTGGTGAATCTCCTCTGCAACCTGTCTAAAGCTTCCACATCCTTCCTATAATGAGGTGACCAGAACTGAACACAATATTCCAAGTGTGGTCTAACCAGGGCTTTATAGAGCTGCAGCATAACTTCGTGGCTCTTAAGTTCAATTCCCCTGCCAATAAAAGCCAACACACCATTAGCCTTCTTAACAACCCTATCATCTTGGGTAGCAACTTTGAGAGATCTATGGGGGACATGGACCCCAAGATCCTTCTGTTCTTCCACACTGCCAAGAATCCTGCCATTAACCCTGTATTCTGCATTCAAATTCGACCTTCCAAAATGAATCACTTCACAACTTTCTGGGTTGAATTCCATCTGCCACTTCTTTGCCCAGCTTTGCATCCTGTCACTGTCCCGTTGCAACCTATGACAGCCCTCCACACTATCCACAACTCCACCAACTTTCGTGTCATTGGCAAACTTACTAACTCACCCTTCCACTTCCTCATCCAAGTCATTTATAAAGATCACAAAGAACAGAAGTGCCAGAATAGATCCCTGCGGAACATCACTGGTCACTGAGCTCCCAATAGAAAACTCCCAATAAAGTGCCTGCTCCTTTCTGGTTTCTGACTTCCACCCATACTGGCTCAGTAGACAAACCCTCCTCCACAACCTCCCTTTCTGCAGCTGTGAAACCATCCTTGATTAGCAATGCCACTCCCCCACCTCTTACCTCCCTTCCTATTTCTTTTGAAACATCTAAACCCCGGAACATCCAACAACCATTCCTGCCACTGTTATCCAATGGCTACAACATTGTAGCTCCAAGTACTGATCCATGCTCTAAGTTGGTCGCCCTTATTCCTGACACTTCTTGCGTTAAAATGGACACACTTCAACCCATTGCACTGACTGCAATTTTTCCCTATCAACTGTCTATCCTTCCTCACAGACTCTCCGCATGCTGTATCTGCCTGTACACCAGCTACTCCATCTTCTGATCCGTAGCTCCGATTCCCATCCCCCTGCCAAACTAGTTTAAACCCTCCCGAAAAGTTCAAGCAAACCTCCCGCCCAGGATATTGGTGCCCCTCCAGTTCAGGTGCAACCCATCCTGCTTGTACAGGCCCCACCTTCCCCAGAAGGTATCCCAATGATCCATATATCTGAAGCCCTCCCTCCTACACCAGCTCTGTAGCCACATGTTCAGCTGCACTCACTCTCTGTTCCTAGCCTCACTAGCCCGTGGAACCGGTAGTAATCCTGAGATTACTACTCTGCTCGTCCTGCCTTTTAGCTTCCAACCTAAAAGTTCTCCTAGATTGTTGTGGGTTCTGAGGAGTGAAGGGCAGATATCATGATCCAGAAACTGGTTCTCCAAGGATGAGTCAGAGCTGAGAGTGCTCATCACCACAAGATCTTGAGATCATTGCTAGATTGAGATTGTGAGCAGAATTTGGAGGATAGTCAGTTGAGCTGAGCTGCAATTGGAGGATCTTCACATTGGCTTTGTCCCAATACCAATTCAGTGACCAGCCAACCAGAGCTATGACCTTTGTTAGTGCCCATACCCTAGGCCAGGGCGTCCCCAGTACAGTCAGGGTGACTGTCAAGAAGGTGGAATGAAGGATTGTGGCTTGACCAGACCACCTTTGTGAGGAGAGTCCTCCTGGATTGCTACAGGTTCCAAGCTGTAGAAATATTCTGTCTGCAGGATTTCCCTTTGATGTGACCTTCAGGAGCGTGAAGTAATGTGAACATCTCCTGAAGGCATTTGAGGAAAAAGGAGGTGAATGTCCCCTCTTTGTCCTGTCTGAGCCACCATTGTTCATTCTCCCTGAACAGAGGAGCTGGGTTGTCAGAATTCATATGTACAAACCCCACGTCCCGGCAGTAGATGTCCTGACCTTCCTGAGAAGGCATGTACAGCTTGAAGGAGGAAGGACCAATGTAGTAGACCCCTTCCGAATCTGGACCAGCAAATGGCAAATCAAGGTGACCCTCAACCTGCCCTCCAGCTTTGCAATCAGAGGGTACCGAAGCTACCCGACGTATGGGTGGGTGGGGTGGCGGCCTAGAGTGTGCCAAACCTGTGGGAGGTCAGGCCACATGGCAGCAGACTGCAAAGTGACCTTCTGTAGGAACTGCAAATAGGGGCACCTGACCAAGGACTGCAAGGAGTCCAAGAACTGCAAACTATGTGGGAAAGCAGGCTGCCTACATAAGATAACAAGGTGTAGAGCTGGATTAAAACAGCAGGCCAAGCAGCATGAGAGGAGCAGGAAGGCTGATGTTTCGGGCCTAGACCCTTCCATTTCTGAAGA